CAGAAGCAGGAGACACCTTGCCCAGGGCCCCTGCCACTCATGTTAATGACATACCAGAATTCAGTTTCTCCTATTTGCTTAAAGTTGCCAGCCCTCATATTTGCAAGGAAAAAAAAGAAAATCAAACAGGTCTAGGTTAACATCTTCACCACTGCCTGTAACAGCAGAACTGAGAGGCGTGAACTTCTCCAAAGGTCTTGGTGAAGACGTGGAAAGGTATTGATTCCAAAGGTGACTCCTCTAACTGCCTTTCATCTCTCTAAATTTGGTAGAGAGACCCCAATACCATTCCAGAGGAGAAAAAGGCCTGTGGTCTCGCATTGCTGAGAGAGGGGGTACGGACCTCTGTCCCCATCACTTGAACTTGGGCAAGGAGAAGGGTGATACCATAACACAGGGGAGCTGCAGGGGCTCTAGTACTACGGGATCTCAGCATGCCTGCACCTCTTACTTCATTTTTCTAATAAATACAAAGAAATAATGCTTTTTGTGGGTCAAGAAGGTTGTCCAGAAATTACTGGTCTTCACTTTTTCTTAGTTAATTTAAAAAAAAAATCCCACTACACATAAGCTGTGTACATCAAAGGCTTTTGGAGTGCTTTGCGAAGACTAATGCATTATTAAGGTAGCAAACCCCTACGGGGCACCCTAACAGATGGGAAGATGCAAGTAGAGAGAGGATAATAATTTGCTCAGGGGCACCTATTGTGTCAGTGGCAGAGTTAGGAACAGGGTTTGTGTGTTTTTAACTATGTCTCTCAGCTGATATCCATGGATTTGGGCAGAAGTATTAGTTCAAAATCAATTGTACAACTTGAAATACGGCACTGCATCCTGCTTTTATCCTGAGCAAACCCTTGAAATGAAGAAGAATATAACGCTGCAGAATTGCAATACTATTCTTCAGTCTGCAAACAAAAAGCTCCTCAAGACCTCTGTTTTTGAGCAGGTAAATGTCAGGAAAAGAAGCAGCAAAATTTTGGACATGTTAAAACAAATCCACCTGAACACCCAAAATACAATGAAAATCAGTGGTGCGGTTTACAAATACAAGGCAGTGGACAATCTAAGAAAGGCAGGTTATTAGGGACAGTAACATGGAAAAAAGAGACCTAAAGGAGAGATTTTAGGTAGCTAAGATAAAGGCAATGCTAGGCTTACCTACAGAATATCAAAAGAAGGGTGAAATTAAAAGAATGAATTTCTATTCTCCCTTCTTAAAAACAAAACAAAAGCCCCCAACAGTCCTTCCCAGTTTGGAGCTGAGAAGCCAAATTAAGTCATTGGTTCTGCATCTCACCTCCTTTCCCATGTCTGGGTTACCAGAGAGACAGAAGGTAAATGATGGATGGTCCTGTTGCAATGTAGTATCTTTTATAGGGATCACAGCTCCATATAACATGAATTAAGCCAACATACTTGCACCCAATTTGTTTAAAGTTACTACAACTCTTATATTTTCAGCATGTTTTTCTATTTGTATTCATCTGATTCAGCAAGCAGCTTATGATTTTGTTTCGAAGTCCAAAGTATGTTGGAAAATGAGCCATTTCACTATTATAGCCTGGAGTTTTTGAGCCTTGTATTGCATATTTTGATCCTTAGTGGCCTTCTGGCCCATCTTATTCACATTAAAATATTCCAGTTAAATTCTTTAAATATTTTTAATGCCTAAATACACACGCAGTGCCTCCCCCAATTAGATTGGAAGTCTAATTGCTGTAGAGTGTGATGTGTACAGGCACTCAAATTGGAATTTATGTTGACTGGCTAGTATAATTACATTGTGCCGTTGCATTTAATTTTAGAATGAACCACATTTATTTCCCTTACGCTAGATTCAGGAAATAAATTATAGTTGGAGCAATCAGATTTTTCCAGGCTTCTCTAATATTCAGTCGAAATTCATTTGGTATTTCAGATTCTTCTACCAAGTGCAGCAGTTATTTAGGCCCAATACGTCTCTAGAGAAAGTTTCCAGGTTTGGCTGCTCTTTCTGAAGGGCTGTTGGAGAGCAGAAGGACACTTCAAGCACAGATGACCTACTCGATGCTGGTAACATTTCAGCTAGGGGATATCTTGGGAGGACCCAGGACCAGTCTAATCATGAGGCTTTATTAGAATTACCTGCTATTACTATCAATACAAACCTAATTTTCGTAGCACAGACAAAAGAGCCTGACAGCACTGACTTATTTCAAGCAGCAGGATTGGTGGGTACAGCCAAATTCTCTGTTAATCTAAGTGAGCATAAATGCAGTGAAGTCACTGTAGTGGACACCACGCAGGTCTTTGGCCGTGGTACATGTGTCCGATCACACTGTATGTGCCTTAAGTTTAACTTCTTGATTACAGAGGATGGACCCGCAGCTTGCCCAGGGCAGATGGAAGAGGGTTTAAATCCAAAGGCATATAAATAGATGCAGGGACAGGAAAAGAGTTCAGCAACGCATAATACCTTAAGAAGCGGTACCGTTGCTTGCTACCAGATGAGTGCTGATGAATTCCTGGCAAGTCAGGTGCAGTGCCAAGATGCAGCTAAACGTGCAAGGATTTGTATCTAAAGGGATTTTAAAAGATGATAAACTAAATATGAAAGTTTTGAACTAAACCATGCAAATGTAACTGGGCTTTGAAATCAGAAAATGATTAGTATTTGCTATGAATAAAAGGTCCATTTGTAATTTGAAGTGGATTAACTAAGAGGTATTTTAAGGTCAGCGGACTAACAGTCATTTCTGGTGACAACGAAGTGTTTTCTCCATTCCAATATTTAATGCAGACAGTATTGTAGTTACTGTAACCCAGGTGTGAGATTTTTAGAAAATGTTGAGTATAGTGAAGGCAACTCTTTGATAGTAGGAATAAATTACGACTTTAAACTAATTTTTTTTTTAAGAAAACTTTTTCAGTAATAGCCTGCATATGATTTAGTAGAGCTGAATTTGAGAGCAGCTGACGGATCTGCCCGCGTGTTCTTGCATGCAGATTTTGTACTCCAGGGACAGTGTAATTTGCAGTTGGGAAGCTTCTTTTAGGATTTTGATCTCCACCCTAGAAAACAGTGGCAATCCTGAGCAGGATCAAACTACATTCAGTAGTAGAAGTGAAACATAAAATGAATAAAAAAAGAATCAAATGCTAAATAGTTTTAAGTTGCTGTTGTGATTAAAGTTATTTCTGCCTTCTATGATGAACGTCCACAGATGTGGAAAAGGCACAGTTAGGAGTGTTTTTTTTAAAAAACAAGATAGGAGCCTTAGCTTGTCCTATAGGACATTAGCAGGGAAACAACTGATCTTCAGAAAGACCTGTCAGATGTTGTAGTTTCACAGTAGTTTCAGTTACTGGGGTTGTGAAACTGGGAGCCCATGTTTGCAGCCAGACATGCTTGGGCTTATTGATGAAACTGTGGAGCATACAAGACTGGGAGTAGGGCGTACAGTCAAATTGGCACATGAGAATACTGATTACAAATGAGGATATTGTGTAAATAGACACTGAAGAGCATTGGCCAATTTGTCTCCTTGCTAGTGCAGAATCTACTTCAGTGCTTGTTCCCCTATGTCTTTTCTCCATTTCACGTGGAGGGCAACAGCCCTCTTCCTGTACCTGTTGGCTTCCAAATGAAAAGGTGGGTCTGGCAGAAACTGTTCTGAGGAATCTTTCACAGGTTTTCTGAAATTCTAGTGACGCCATCTTTAAAACTTAACAGCTAATCAATGAAGGGCTTTTTTGAGGGTGCAACTATAGGTTAGTAATCTGCTAATGTGACAGTTGCCGAGGAAACAAAAATTTAATTTTCTGGCTCGTTTCAAAGATGAAGTTGAATTACATTTCTGTCTCTACATTTAATGAACAAATCATTCCAGTATTTGTGAGATTTAATTAAGATGGGAAGCTTGCATGGGGAAGAGGGAGGTTGCTGCAGCAGCTATAATAAACTGGTGTTTATTGTGGAAGAGAAGGCCTAAAACCTTCTTTGCTGTCTCTGCAATGCCTGGGCTTGGTCTTAGTTGTCTGTGTTTAAAAAAAAAAAGCCTAAGGTAGGACTGGTAGGACATTGGTTCACTGTCATAGACCAAAGGAAGTCTTGCAGAGAGAAGCTGGGGCATGTTCCCTCCTGCTCTTTGCTAAAAAATATGGCAAAATCCACTTAGTTTCTCTCTTGCTAGAGGGACTCTGTTTTACAGCAGGGACAATGCTCCTGGGTACCTCTGTTGCCAGGGTATTGCATGCCCTGGCAGTAGGACTGGTAACTTTAAATGCTATGATTCTAAATGACCCAAATAATAATCTTTTCATGCTAACTCAGCTCCCTCCTCCCCCCCAAAAAGGGGCATTAATGTTCCCCTGATAGTGTTCTTGATGTTTAATTTCTGGTCTTTCCTACTCATTGCTGGATTTGCTTACAGAAAGCAAGAGTCTGGACAAAAGAGGTCCCTTCTGATCCTTACTTCGTCTGCCCTGATCATTAGCATCAGGACAGTATGGTTTCTAAGAGACAGAAAGGAAATTCTAAGGAGGGACTCAAGTATCAGCTCTACATATGTTCCAAAAGGGAACATGGCAGCGTGTTAAATAGCCTAAATATAGCCCAGCTTTGTATAACCTGGATGGCTCTAAGCAGTCACATCTGCTTACTCTCTTTGGTCAAAAAAAATGCTAACCTTTGATCTGCAAGTATGTTGGAACCATAAGCTTTTCTTTTTTTTTTTTTCTTAAAGTGAAAACTTTTTAAAGGGTAGTCTTCTATATATTCTCGTACAGAAGTAAGTTTCTATTGGTATTAACACACTGGGGTTTTTTATATTAATATTCACATATAATTACCCTCATATGCAGGTTTTGCTCTAACAGCCACGCTAACCAGGAATAGTTGTAAATATTCAGAAAGCTTGCTTCAGCAAAATATTAAGAGTTTCTAAATATAGCTGTTGAAATTAACAAAATACAAGCAACAATTTAATATTGCAGATAACAGAATTTTTCTTTCTCAGGAAGACTATGATCGTCTGAGACCTTTATCTTATCCTATGACCGATGTCTTCCTTATCTGCTTCTCAGTGGTAAATCCTGCTTCATTTCAAAATGTGAAGGAAGAGTGGGTACCGGAGTTGAAGGAATATGCACCTAATGTTCCCTTTTTACTAGTAGGAACACAGGTATATCTGGTTCTGTTCTATTTTATTTAAACAATTCAGATCGTTGTACGGTGCCTTTGCTTTGGGCTGGCAGTTCAGGCCCAACAGGACCTGAGCAGCATCTCCTTCTGGCTTTGGTGGAACGACCCTAGCAAGCAGCAGAAGAACCTACATCTGGGTTGTTCTGTAATGATCTACCTCCATTTTGTTAAAATATATGGATTGTAAACTGGGTGGCAAGGTTGGCTGCATCTCTCTATGTGACCTCCTATAAAGTCATGGGACTTGGGGAACAAAATTGTCTGTTCATACCCATGTTACTGGAATGACTTGGGTCTGCAACTGTTGGTCATGTCCAACGTTTGCTGATGCAAAGGAGGAAGGGGAGAAGTGAGATGATTTCCTCTTGCTTCATGTGGGAAGCGGGCTGGGCTTCAGTTATAAGGAGACCCACATGTTGATATTATGTTTGGGTTAATCTTTCTGCCACTGATGAGTATAATTTCTCATATTCTGAGATTATCACATCTAATTAAAGAGCTGAATTACAGGATAAACGTTTGTTCTTTCTAGATTAAAGGTAGTAGTTCAGAGCTTAAATTTCCAGTGCTTTTGGATCAGGAAGGGTCCACAATCTAAATCATGACATGATTCCATTCTTATACATGTAATACTCCATTAAATAAATAATTCTGCTTTAAAAAATATGGCCTGCTTGCTTTTGTTTAGAAGAAGTATTCCAACATGACTGCAATCTTTCTTACTAGATTGATCTTCGTGATGACCCAAAAACTCTGGCAAGACTGAATGATATGAAAGAGAAGCCCATATCCGTGGAGCAAGGACAGAAGTTAGCAAAAGAGGTAAACTGGATACTCTTAAATGAAAGCAAGTAGCAAAGAAGGAAAAAATCCCCATTTCCAATTGACTTTTTCTTCCTTTATCACTTAGCCCAATTCTTTTACCAGTCAACATATGAAACCTTATGATTGGTTACCAGTTAAGAATATTTACTTACATTGTTGAGCGCAGCTAACAAGCAGACCTGTGTAATAACACTTCCCTCTTAGTAATAGTTCTAACTTGCTGTGTAGACACTCATAAAAATACATAAAAATTTCATAAGCATTAGGTAGAGTGACTTAAAATCAGAGTGGTTGAGGTTGAAAGGGACCTCTCCTGCTCAAGCAAAATGTCAGAAGCATCTTAAAGAAATTATTTGAGAATGCCATTTTAGCACACTGCATGGATAATGCTTATCAGGACACTTATTTATAGAGTCTTATTTTAGATGATTCTATGATTCTATGAATTGGTCATGTAATTCTGTAATTCTTTCTTGCTGTTTAGTTACCAAAAATACTTTAGGACCCCACTGCCAATCCAAAGAGCTTATTTAATATGCTTCCTTTATAAACCAAACCAACTTAAATACATTCCAGATCTTTGGCCAAAAGACAAATCTTCTGTTCTCTTAGTGGGGGAAGCACATTCAGATAATTTTTCTATATCACAGCCAAATATTGTGGTGCCACTATAGAAAAAAAAAAAAAGCAGGAGTGCACAGGTAGAACTGAACAGCTGAAATATATTGCTATTGAATTTACTTATTTTCTTGACAGATAGGCGCCTACTGCTATGTGGAGTGTTCAGCTTTGACACAGAAAGGACTGAAGACCGTTTTTGATGAAGCTATTATAGCCATTCTAACTCCAAAGAAACACACAGTGAAGAAGAGAATAGGCTCAAGATGCATAAACTGCTGTTTGATCACGTGAGATCCATTTGACAATGGCCAGGCTTACTGTGAAATTCTACTGAATTTAAATACAATGCATTAAGTACATAGCGAACTTGCTACAGGTTTGAAAGCTAAAACTACGATTATGCCTTCTACAACCAGTGACATCCAGAGGAATAAAATCAATCTCAACGAACTTGTAATAAGAAGCCACCACATCTATTACAAATATTTTATTCAGACTGGAAGGTACAATCTCTCAGGGTTACATAGTCTAGAGGAAGCAAAAACTGCACCATGTTGAAACGGCATCTATGCGATTTTACCGAGTGGAGATGCTTGGCCTGAAATACTCTAAATGAATTTGGATAGTCTTCTGCTTTGACTATATATATATATATATATTATAAAAACAACAACTTTTGCACAGTCTGTATGGAATCTGCACAAAGAAATACCTTGTCTCTCTTTGCTCCAGTTATCTGCTTTTGTATGTAAGCTGCTTCCGGTTCCAGTGTATCCACAGAGGTGCAATAATCAGACCAGCCATATAGCCAAAGGTAGCTCCGAGGGAACAGGAAATGGGCCACACCTGAGGGCAGAACACAAGGTAAAAGCAGACAATGAGGAAAACGTTTGTGGGTTTTTTTGTACTTCGCGAGCACAAATTCTCAGTGTAATCTAGGTACTGAAAGATGGGACAGTCTTACTCTACTTTAAAGCTTGACGTGCTTTCCTAAAAATGCCAAAAGTGTAACAGTCATCTTCATGAACACTAAATGCTGTTGTACAGTTTTTAAGTAATATGCATTAAAATGTAACCAGGCTTCTGGCTATTGCAGACTTCAGTTTGATATTCCCAAAACTATGTGAAAAACTTGAGAAGTATTTCTATCCCCTGAAGCGTTCAGCCAACCCAGCTTCCTGTGCTGCTGCACGTGTTTGGAAACCTACAGATTTCTTGGCAATTCCTCCTCCTGATTTCTCACAGCATTCTGAAATGTTCAGAGGTGTGTGTGTATAAACAAACTAATATTCAAATGAGGCCAGAAACTGAGATGGATAGAGGGTTTTTCTTTCTTTTGGTTTTGGAAAGTAGGCAAAGGGCTGAATTTCCCTCTGGCTAGCAGGAGGGAGGGAACATAAATTTGGAAACTGACTGAACATCTTGCACCCAGTTCAGCAAACACGTAGTAAGCCAGTTATGTTAAAGAGAGCTTTAATTATAAGCTCTATTTCTTAGTACAGGAACAGGGAACTGACTCAATACAGCTGACTCACGTTCACCAACCATCTAGTACTGAGGCAAAGAAGTAATGTGATTCTCCACCCCACCCCCAGCTTTTTATTTTTTTTTTTTTAATTGGCATTGGTTTGCAGGGAGGAGGGGCCAGAGCAAAACTTAAACAGTCTGTCCTTAGATGTAGCTTATATTACCAGTCAGCTACTGTCAGCTACAGTCAGCAGACTGCATTTGATTAAAGTCTCAACTAAGTTGGTGATTAAGAATTATTATTTACCGTGGAATAAACTGAATTCCCATCCCTCTTCAAAATTCTAGTTTGCATACTTCTTTTTTGCAAGGACAATTTTGCACTTCCTGCTGTACAGTGCATGTTCCTGAAGTAAGTACACACTGCACTCTCCTTTTTTTTTTAATTTTTAAATTAAGGGGGATATTTCCACCCTCTATAGTACTTGAGACTGAGAAATGCACTAGACATTAAAGACATACACATCTCAGTGTCCAGCCTTCTGTTCCCCTTTATTTTGACTTGCAATTCCTGCATATCAAATTAACTTACTCTTAATGGTACTGGTTCCTCCTTTCATTCATTTCCCTAGCTCTGATTCTTCTCTTTACTTCATTATCACTTGGAGAAATATATTTATTCCTTTGATCATGGGAACTTTAACTAGGAGTAAGAGTAATGTATTTGTCCTCTGCTGTTTCATCTTCACAGTCTCCTCAGCTGATTCATCTTCACATTCCTTAGCATTTGCAGTTTTATATATTATTTGGAGGTCTTAAGGAGTGTAGCAAAGATGACTAAACAAGGTGCCTTAGGTACTCTTTATTGACCTTGTTTCATTCTTCCATTTCTGGACATTCTGTCTCTGCTACTTGTTTTTTGCTGCTGAATATTTTGGCTGTTGCCTCTCAAACCAAAGACTTGCTTGTTTTCATTCATTCAACAGTGGTATTGTAGATCATCAATAAATAGCCTTGAGATGCTTAGGCATGGTAAGATATTATGTATATTTAAAACTCACATGAGTTTGTGGCCTTGGCTAAACTTACACTTCAGGTGGATCTTTCCAACTTTTAAATGAAATGCAATCAAATTATTTCTAGTAGCTTCAGGCTATTGCACATGTCTAAAGGACAAAACAATAAGAAAAAAAAGTCTCTGCAACCCTAGCTGCTCACTCAGTAATGTTCAGTTGGAACAGGAGTTGTACTTTCTTATCCACAGATGAAGTCAAATACCACTCTAATATCCACAAAACTCTAGACAGAGGCTTCATAACTCAGTGGTCTTTTTGCATCAGTTTCTTTCAGTGATCAATGATCCTTCACTATATTTTACCTACATTAGGTGAATCTGTAGTTGCCTATTTGCTTTTCAGAAGTGTAAGGAAATGTTGGAGTCTCGAATTTATCACATCCCCTTAACTAGAGAGTCAATATCCCCAATGACCCATTGACCCTGTATCTTTCAGTGTTTCGTGTATAGTGGGCAATTGTTGGTACAATTAAAAGGATCTCTGATGATTGTTGTAGCTTCTTTTACCTGATTGAACTGCAACTTGGAATGCGGTTTTTTTAATAGTTATGTAACTTTTAATATTAACTATGCCTTTGTCTGCCTTCCAAAACATTCAATTTCTGCTTTGCTTTTATAAAATCAGTGTTACCCCACAGAAATTTGAGGCTGTCTCACTTAACACATGACTCTCTGACATCTAACCCTCCCGGGTGGCAGCTGGCTCAGACAAGGGGCAAAGGGAAGAAACCACACAATATTCCATCTCACTGACTGTGAGTGAGACACAGAAGGAACACCACCTCATCCCTTTGAGAGGCATACAACAGAAGGGTACTAGGCCAGGTACTCATTTTTATTATGCTGGTCAGATGGCCCAAAGCAGTTCTGAAGGTTGTTTGATTGGCCTTTTGAAAACTCCCTAAGCACAGAAGTCAAAAGCCTGAGCTAACGAGCGTTGCTGCCCTCATGCTATTTTCTCTAACCCTCAAGGCAGGGCAAAAAACCCCTAGCAAACAGGTAATGTTACTAGTTTTATTCTTGACTGCTGGCCTGTAATCTACATGTAGCCAGATGCAACCACGGATATAGCTAAAGCAGCAAGTTATCAAAGACAGATTAAGACGTAGCTCTTAAGCACATCAGCTGCACTAAAATAACAGCCCTTGCATACGCTTTTTGTCAGTCTATGAAAGTGGGTTGCTTTATTTTTGCATTAGCTGCTGGCCTCATTTTTCTGAGACCCAATCTCTTTCTGCTGGACCTTTTTAAATGAATTGCTCGATTGCTCTGCTTTTGCTCTCTCTTTCATATTATCTCTTACACTTGGGTTAGCTTCCCTAACTTGGTACAAACTGCCTCTACGTGATAAAAATCTAAGCTGCTAATATCTGTCTCCCCGTTCTAAAAGATTCCATTCCACTTATTTAAAGTATGCAACTTCTAATACACCCCTCTCCTCCCCTGAGAACTATTCACTTGGTTTCTTGTACTTCATGCTCCCTTCCCAGCTGTGAGGAAGCTGACATACCCTACCCCAGTAGTGATGTCATGTCTAGGCTGGGTTAGGAGCAAGGGAATAAGATGTTAGGGAACACGGCCTAACCACACTTTTTTTGAGGGAAAGAAAATCTGGAGACAACAGTGTGGGGAGCGCAGGAGACAGGACAGAACATTCTTCAGGAACCTGTCATGAAATGCCTTGTCTGTCCCAGCAGCTGGGAAGCATCAGCACTATCCTCAGCCCAATATAAGAAAAATCAGTTTACTTACATGAGAAAAGGGCAATTTTAACAACCTGTACATGATTGCTAGGAAACTCAACAGCACCTTGGCAAAAACAAATCTCCCCCTACGTGCTTAACAAGCACAAAAATTGCATTTTAAGGGGCAGAGCATGAGCCAGTGGTTAATGCAAAATGATCCTGACTTCTGCTATTTAAGTTTTTTTTTTTTTTTTTTTTTTTTTTTTCTTTGGGCGGAAATTATCAGATTTTAAAAA